GGGTTTTATTAGATAATGACTCTAAATGACCCTCTAATAATGAAAGTAAGAATCCCGTAATCATTCGACTACTTTCTGCTTTCTCACTAAGAAGACCTTTTGAATTCGTTAAGTGAGTTGTAAAAAAATCCATAGATTAATGTCTTCTCAGAGGTGATAATGATAGAACATTTAACTGTGATGAAGATAGAAGGACAATTGAAATAAACCAAAATGCCATGATAGAATATGGGAATACAAGCTAAAGAAACAATCACCTGTATATCCCCTCGACGACGATGAAGATCTTCTTATACGGACGATGTGTCCTCGGCTTTCCATTTACTACGGTGTCAATTAGTTGCTTCTCAAGATCCTCAATATCATTATGTTTAAAGCGTCGTACCGTGGCTCCTGAAAGACGACAGCCCAAAATCAGACTGGTATGGTTCAACTCATCGCTGATGACACAGGCGTTCTGTCGGTTGGTGGGTTGAAGGGATAAAGGCAGGAGAAGATGGAAAGTAAAAATTCACATCTCAAAGGATAAATGCAATTTTTCAGTTCCAAATGGCGTTTCCACGATGTAACGAGTGGCAAAGGTGGTCAGGAACTACCACCTCGATGTGCTATGCGACACAACAACTTTCGACACTCATGCAATCCAAAGGTCCATTCCGACTAAAATTAAAGAAAATTGGCCACTTCAACTACAATATTGCCAAAATACTGTCCAGAAGCTGGAAAAAGCCATCTATTTGTTCCAGAAAAGTCGGGTTAGTATCTTCCGTACAGTTACTCTATAAGATCTTCCCCTTCCGCTTTCCGTCTTGCACACGTTTATGATAAACCGTAGATATATATTTTTCGAATTAAGTATTGTTCTCGTGACTACCAGTAAATCAGTAGTATGAGATGTATTCACCCAATTTCGTTTAAGATGATGAACAACTGGTAGAAGTAGAATTTTCCCACAAATGATATGAGTTGGACTGATGTTCCCATTGAATATTTACATAGCTTTGCATTCCCAAAAGTTGTTCTCATCCAGCCAGAAGTGGCCTGCAGTTTCGACCTCGCATTGGTCTTATCAACACCCCCAGCGGGACTCGAACCCTGACAGTGCAGGATGGGAGATTGCCACGAGCACCCCTTTGGGTCACAGAGAAAATGTGGATTTTCAAGGAAGGCCAGGCCTTTTTTTGTGGAATCGCCGATGAAGCGAATGTATGTTCTGCTATAACAATCGACTACTATACTTTATTTTTCGAATTTAGTATTGTTTTCGTGACTACCAGTAAATCAGTAGATAGATAGGCAAATTTGGTGTGAAACTTTGTCGTAACTTTGTCGAAGTAACATGGAGACTGTAAAATGTACCCGGCCCAGCACCATCTCTCTTCGAGTAGGCATTGGAAAGTTGAATTGGTATGTTCTAAGATGTTTCGCAGGCATCGACAGTAAGGAGAAGGTGAAAAGTCTGGGAATGCACCAAATTAACGGTCTGATACTATAAGAGCAAATAAGATGCGACTGAGTACTTGCCAAAGGTCGCCTTGACGCCTGACAAAGTTGCAAAAACGAGGTCATACCAACAAATTACCGCATAGACGTCGCCTACAAAGAACGTTTTGTCTAGAAGACTACATTTCGACCGAGCTATGCAATAATAGGATTGGTCAGCTATTTAAATGACTCTCGCCTATTCGGAAGTAGATACGAAGAGAAACTTGGTTTCGATGAATCTCCTGAGATAACATTGTTAGGGGGACCTTCATTTCGAATAAAAGTACATGATGAAGAGAGTCGTTTGTCGATCTCACCAGATGAGGATGGATGAAAATCGTTGTACATCAGCCGTTCAGCTTTTATATTATATTCATGTTGACGCAGTCCACGAGTATTCCTTCCTGGCTCCGGCTATATCTTACTACAAACTACTACTACTTACTACTACTACTCAATCAAGCCAAAAAATTAGAAATTAGATGGACATTATCAGAGCTGGGTGTCATTCTTGTAAAAGTTTCAGGTTAACACTAAGGCAAGAACACTATCCGGCTCTATCTAACTACTTAATACTACTTCTCAATCAAGCCAAAAAATTAGAAATTCCATGGACATCATCAGAGCTGAGTGTCATTCTTGTAAAAGTCTTACGTTAACACTAAAGCAAAAACACTTTCCGGCTTCATCTTACTACTTATATACACTCAATAGAGTCAATAGATTAAAAATTACAAATCTAGACAGATCGAGATAGAGGGGTTTGGTTAATTTTCTTTCATGTTCGTTCTGTTATTTTTGCTCGATTGTATAAGAATGCATATTTGCGT